TCATTAGCAACAAGGCCACAAATACTCCCCTGAGCTGTAGCATGGCCGGGTCACATATTTAACCCCTGAATGATGGAGACACTTGAATAACATATCACCATTAATCAGCCTTAATACTGAACAAATGGAAGAATGGGACACTGGAAAGTATTGTTGAGTCCCTGAGCCTTTATGCAACTGTCACTGACGGTCTGTCTCAGGACACGTGGACACTTAAATGGCTAGAGAACTGCCATGCATTGTTAATCAGAGAATCATTTAGACCACAGGGCATCCATATTTACAGTACTTGCTGGACAATAAGCTTTTATTCCAGCTGTCATAAGGTATTTGTCTCCTGACACGTGGCCACTTAAAACCAACTAGGGGAGGTGGCTGGGATTGGCATCCATTGTTAGCAGATGACTTGGAATAATTTTGGCAGGAGGTGTGCAAATTTACAGCGGTAGAAACACAAATTAAATCAGGCTTAAGAAGACTAAATGGGGTAGAGGGACACATAATGCCCCCTGGAAAGTATTGTTAAGAGATTAGGCTTTTATGTCGACTGTCATTGCTTGTTAGTGTAAGGATAAATGGCCACTTAAAACTTATTCAACACGGAATTGACACTGACATCCAACGCAAAAGGGCATAAAATGCACAAAAATAGTTGATAGAATGTTTTGTGTGTTTGAGGGTTATTTTGGGATATCAGAGATGTTATGCTACAGTCAACGAGGAGTTACTCTAGCCAGGAAAAGTTTCAGTTAGTGATCCAAAATGTGTATTGTCAAGTTACAATTTACATTTAGCGTAACATTTCCCAGAAAATTGGCTAAAGAAAATGCTTATTAATAGAAGTTTCTTTCAGTTACTGTTGTGCAAATATGAGAAGTAATATCTTAATAGTTTGTATTTCATTTATCAAAAAAATACAGAAACATACAATTGTGTTTAATATAAACATAAAGACGGTCTCACCTGAGCTGCGACTGCAGTTTGCCGGCCTTTGTGATAAAGTCCTCCCAGATAGGGTAGCTGCTCTGTAAGGGAAACAAAAAACAGAAACATGAATGATACAAACATCACTAAAGATGTCACTATTCCCACAGCTGCATAACAGTTTAATCAACAAGAGGCCATACTGATGCCTCACCTCCCCTGCAGGGCTAAACAGAGCTAACCAAGGTGTAGGCTTTCCCATACATGCAAGCCAGTTACGCATGTCACCCCAAAAAACATGTTTTTCCTTCTTGTTGCCAGTGGACCTGAGGGAATCGGATTGAAGTTATAGGACATACTGTAATGTCCTGCATATAATAGGTTTTAAAATGGGTCACAGGCCTCTTTTGGAAAGATCCCCACACAATAAGAGCACTAATACATGGTTTAATGAGCCTGGTTTCCAGAGGGACTCTAAATTTACTCAATTCAGGTCCTGGGCTGAAAATAGTTTAGAAGAGCCTTCTATCAAAACCATCACAGAGAACAAGTGGCCTAATGCAACGAAGAGAAGACACCACCAGGTAATGTGATGCATATCGCATGAGCTCATGTTTGTCACTAATGTGCCACTACTGTCAGGGGTCTGAGGAATGTCATGTTGTGATGTCAAACATTACACCCAACAAACAACTCAACTCTCTCCAACTATGGTAACTCGTTTTTGCCTCTTGAATTTCCCTTACATCACTTATTTTAAATCTCCTACCACCAGCTCTCCCTGATGCTCTGCCACAGATATCAAACACTGGCAGCTTTCTCTGCATTTCTCATATCATGTTTTACTGCTTGTGTTGACAGCTTGGGTTTAGTGAGCTTTACCTTATTTTTTGAGTACATAACTCCATCTGTAGCGCTCTAAAAGAAAAAAACATCACTGGAAATGAGTACAGACAAAACTAATTTCGCAATGGAATATTTCCACTAGATTGTATGGCAGTAAAAAGACAGGGAAACCATGAACTACCTGGTGAAGTGAGACATGGGCCTCTGAGAAGTGCTGAATATCTGAGCAGTATTCATAACAAACTTTGTGACTCCAATAGACCCGATATGTGCCCATTTGACCTCCCATGTCAAAGCCTTCAGACCTTAAGGGTTATTTTTTTTACCCTGACAGCTACATTCACGGAATTCCTTCAGTCAAGTACAACAGCTGGGGAATTGCTAAGTCTCGTTGACCAAGCTGTAAGAGATTACATCAAAATAAGATGCCCTAGTTTTGAGACTGAAGATTGCCCTATTTAGCCTTTATCCAATGTTGGCTGCAGCTTCAGGCTAAACTGGAACACATTGACGTAAAATGGATTAATTTTACAATAAAATGGGATGAATAAATTTGAGTGCAGTCAAATATTATTTATAATTTAGCTAGCCACCACAAAACAAAAACGTACATAGTTATGTTAATATACAGGCAGGTTAAGGAACACTTTCGTGTTAGAATCCAGTTTAATGCCAGGTACGTTTACACATAAAAGGAAATTGCTTTGACATATGGTGGTGCAAACATAAACAAAGAAATGAGGAGAAAGAGAGAACAAATATATATAATGATTATTACAAAAAAATTTAAAACAAATGTTACATTAAAAAAGAATAAAGAAAAGTGTTTACACTAAATATAAATACACAAAAGGAACTAAAAAACTTAGTACAATGAATATATGACAATATATAACAGTATAATATATTTTAAAGTGGAGGGCTGTGCAGATGTGTAGAAAAGTTATGGACTACTTATCATAACCATCATTTGAGATAATACCTCAACCTTTCTCAGCTTTAGACTACTACATGTTGTCGACTTTAAGTTATAACGAAATGTTTCAATAAGAAGATTGATGCGTATTTCAGTCGGGTTCAGAAAGCTAACGGTTGGTTGACCTAACACACATTGATTAGCTGGCTCAAACGGTAATCCACATTTACGACTTTAGACAGATGTTTGGGAAGTAACTGGCTGTGAAAGTTTTCGCACGTCACTTAAAGGCTCTCAGATAACATTATTTGTGTTGTAAATTTCTTCTGGCCTACCTTCATGTCTCCGATAACAGTTTGGAAAAGTCCTCCAAAAGCGCTGCATTCCTTCTCGATAACAGCCTCCATTTTCAGGACTAACTCCAGCGGTCAGTCCCGACTCGGTGAGCCGCTTTCACTTCTCCACCTCCGCTCTCCAGGAAAAGCAAATACTCCCAAAATATAAACAAAAACGAAATAAACCACCTATGTAAAGCTGCTGCAGTGACTTAATCGACTCACAACAACTTTTGTATCGGTGGAATGTGCAAAGAAACACAGCTCGGTTCTGCTCGGTTGCACCGTTTACTTGAAATCAAAAGAAGCTGCTGGGACGAAAGAGACATTTAAATCCCCCTCTCTCTGCCACGCCGCCCCGCTCATGCCCATGGCTGGACCGTGAAGATGCTCTTTTGCAGTTTGCTAGTCGAAACTATAAATATTCCCAATGTTAGACTGGTAATGTTATTCCGTATATTGACAGGTAAATGCCGACACTCACTGGTCCTCCTACTGCCTTCTCAACACTGACTGAGAGAGAGAAAACAAGATGAGAAATTACCGCCAAGCCTACCTGCATAAAGAAAAGCATGCACTTCCGGTTGAGTATTTTACACCAAAATAAAACACGTGTTAAATTGGAATATTTTAAAGTCGTCTTCTCTTTTTTTTACACCTAAAATCATGGATATGCATTGTGATATATATTTGAAATCAGCAAAAGCTCAAGTTAGTAATATTAGTTTATCTATCATTATTTTGAAAATATATTACACGAAACATGACAATGACATCCCAATAAAAATACAACGTTGTGAACGTGTACATCATTTCAAATAGAATATAATCTTAAACGAAAATCTCGTTTCTCGTTCCTTTTTTTAATACACGTTTACGGGCGTGTTGTTGCTTTTATTTTGAAGGAATACCCGCGATACTTGCGCTATTTTTCAGTTTGACTTGACTCCATGCTTCATGATGATGGGAGATGCATAGGTGAGCTGTGAGTGAACAAGACAAGCCAAACTGAATAGTAATGACTATTTTAACCGTAGAACAATTTATTCTGACAATTTGGGCTAACAATATTGAATTACGTTAGCAATACTTTTTTTTTACGCTAACGTTTTACTATTTATACATAAGCATGGGATAAATATTGAAAAGTTAAACAGTTGTAGATAATGGGCGACATCTAGTGGCTGAAATAAGAATGACAACATAGATGTATTATGATGTTATATTGACTTTACTTTTATTTGTAAACGTTTCTATAAGGGCATTAAGATATAGCAAATGTTACTTGCACTAACCTTGACATCAACATATGCCCTATAATAGCTTAACAAACATCTCTACATCAAACATTTCCATAAAACTAGATAACACATGAAATATTAAGATAGATATTTGCATATATACATGTACATTTTATTAATCACAATCAGAACTTGTAATGCTGCATACATATAAGTTATAAGGCTACATACACTCATCTCTACATCAAAAACGTGTAACACCAACTGGTGTATCGGAGAAAACTGCCAGCCCAAGCAACATGTGGTGGAGATAGCCCTAACACCAACTTAAATAGTTAGTCTCAAATATATGTTATGGACAAATGCTATAGATGCTATTGAAATGCACATTAAAACATCTGAAATAGACCAAAACTTCTGCTACGAAGAGAACATTGGAAAAAATATGTTAGATATGAATTAGACTAAACCTCAACTTGTGAGTATTCAAAAACAAAAGGCAATATTTATTATGAAATCCCAAAAGTACTGCTCGGCTTTATTTGCCACAATTTGCATATCTTTTAATGTCATTCGAGTTGATTGGTGAACAACAGGGCTAAATCACTGTTTTACCCTCTCACAGATGAAGAGATGGACCTTGTTCACTTTGTTTAATTGTTTTTTTACTTGAGTGCCTTATTGTGGCAACACTGTGGCAGGAAACACTGCACCCTGTAATGATGCTCAGACAAGAGCTTATTTTTTTCTTCAAAACCTTTATTTGTGTAGTTCTTAAAAGCATTTCAAATTTCAAGAAAAACCAAGTGTTAAAACAAATTTATTAAAAACGATTTTAAGTTAACAACATGTATATGCAAAAAAAAGCATACAGTAAATACAACTAATACATCATGTAGCAATATGATTATTGATGCTATACGTACATACATTTAATGATCCATTAGTAGATTAAGATCACGGTTTAAAATATAGTAGCTGACTGATGAGAAATAGTCAAAATGGAGTTAGCCACAAATGACTGCACTCAGAAAGTTTAAACAGTAACACATATTATTATGTAACTTATGTTAACTGAGAATGGAATAATTGTTACAATATATGAACAACTGAAAACGTTGGATACAAAGTTCTCACAATAAGAATTACAACTTTGAAATTTAAATATCAGATCAATTTACACTTTTAATAGGATTACATTGAAATGTAATAGAATTCATATTAAAATCTAGTGAGAAAATAGCTCCTTAGCACCAAGGAAACTGAAGGAAAGTAAAAACCATCATCTTTCAAACAAATTGCACCATCACATTATTGTTATGCAGTGCATTATCCATGAGCAGCATTAACAGGCATGTTGTAGTGGTCATTTAAAAAGGGGAATAGTTCCTCATATGAGAATGACCGTGTATAGCCAACTTAAACTGCAATTCTTTATTCCTATCCTATAGACACTTCAAACAGCACTGACTGAACCTACCTGAACCCAAACCTTTAACAGATTTATTGCGGGAATATTATTGTCCAGAAAACTTAACACATGTTTGACTGAGGCAGACATTTTAAATATATATTACTTTTACCTTTTTATGATGCAAGTTAACCATCAGGAAATAACTGATGGTGTGCTGATGTGTTAATACATGCTGAAGTCATGAAGATGTTTTTAAACTGAAGTTTCCACAGTTTAGTTTTTTCTGGTTACGACATCCACCTCTTGAATCCCATCACCATACTGCAGCCATAACATAATGTCACCACAAATGCAAATACCTGGGATACAAAGACAAAAGGAGAGAGAGCAAAAACACAGTTGGTCAGAAATACCCCAGCAATTTCACTCACATTTACTGACTGATAACTTATTAGTTTGTTCCATATCTATTTATAATATTTTTTAGTTCAGTAGGTTCCTACAGGTCTGTAGGATCACTTATTCATTGTAATCAGCCAAAAATAACATTTAAGTATATGCACTGGAGGAAATAAGTATTTGTTCCCTTGCCGATTTTGTAAGTTTACCCACTTACAAAGAAATGAACAGTCTTTAATTTTAATGGTAGGTTTATTTGACTAATGAGAGAGAATATCAAAAAGAAAATCCAGAAACTGACATTATATAAAAGATAAAAATGTATTTGTATTTAACTGTGGGAAAGAAGTATTTGATCCCCTTGCAACCAACAGGAATTCTGGCTCCCACAGACCAGTTACATAAGTCCTCTTCCTTTAAGAATGTACTCCTAATATCAACTAGTTACCTGTATAAAAGACACCTGTCCACAGAATCAATCAATCAGATTCCAACCGCTCAACCATGGGCAAGACTAAAGAGCTGTCTAAGGGCCTCAGGGACAAGACAGTAGACCTGCAAAAGGCTGGGATTGGCTACAAGACCATCAGAAAGCAGCTTGGTGAGAAGGAGACAACTGTTGGTGCCATTATTCAGAAGGATAATGTGTGTGTTTCTAAATGGAAGAAAGACAAAATGAGCATCAATCGCCCTCTGTCTGGGGCTCCACACAAGATCTCGTGAGGGAAAGGTGAGGGATCAGCCAAGAACTACACGGGAGGAACTTGTTAATGATCTCAAGGCAGCTGGGACCACAGTCACCAAGAAAACTATTGGTAACACATTACACCATAATGGATCAAATCCTGCAGCGCTGCAAGGCCCCCCTGCTCAAGAAGAACATGAAAGGCCCGTCTGAAATGTGCCAATCGTCATCTGAATGATTCAGAGAAGGCTTGGGAGAATATGATGTGGTCAGATGAGAACAAAATCCAGATCAAGGCATCAACTCGACACACCGTGTTTGGAGGAAGAGATATGCTGACTATAACCCCAGAACACCATCCCCAACGTCAAGCATGGAGGTGGAAACATTATGCTTTGGGGGTGAGGAGAGGACCAAAATCCTTCCTGAGATGTGCACAGACCTGGAGACCAACTACAAGAAGCGTCTGACCTCTGTCTGTCCAACGAGGGTTTCTCCACCAAGTACTAACACATGTTTTGCAAGGGGATCAAATACTTATTTCCCACAGTTAAATGCAAATCAATTTTTATCTTTTATATAATGTCAATTTCTCGATTTTTTTTTTTATATTCTCTCTCTCATTAGTCAAATAAACCTACCATTAAAATCATAGACTGTTCATTTATTTCTAAGTGGGCAAACTAACTAAATCTGCAAGGGATCAAATACTTATTTCCTCCACTGTATATATAAATTAAACAAAGAATAGCAAGCAAAGTCAAGAATTTGTACTTCTTTGTACATAAATGTGTCCTCTGAGGTGTTTCTCTGAAAGTAAGCTATTAAGAGCCTGAAAGAATAACAGGGTGGATATCAGATATAGTTCATCAATTAACTTTTCGTAGAAACTTTGGATTCTTTTTTCTAGTCTTTCTAAGGCACTCAGCAGGTACCTTCCTAAGTCAAATGTAACAGGGTTTAACATTATGGTACATTTCATTAAATAATACTGAGTCCATTATGATAATATGATTTAAAACACACACACTTTGCACACACTGTGAAACAGACTTCATTTAAAAACAGGTATATAGCACTCACCGTGGCTGCCACATTAACACTGTATTGCCTGTCATCCATGACTGTGAATATATTGCCCCGAGGGTAAGTTATACACATGACAGTTTCAGTGCTGTTGGGCAGTATCTTGATGTGGGCTCCTCCATTAGCTGCCGTAGTTGCTGCCTCCAACACAAAGGCGGCAAAGTAGAAAAGCAATGCCATAAAATGGTAAGTCACATCCTGTGGGACAAAAAAAAGTATGCATTAGATATAAAAACAAAACAGTAATAGCAGCAGTTGGATATAAAGAATGGCCAACATGTCAGTTGTATCCCCTCGGGTAATTATTAGACAATGCACTGGTAACTAAAGCTACCTGGACTTTGGAAGTCACATAACAAACACGGCCATCTGTCAATAACCCAAGCTTTTACACTAATTAACTTTACACAAGAGCAACACAAAAACATGGCAAATTATAGAAACATTTAAAATAAAAGGAGTATAAAATGGAAGTCAACATATTAAGGAAAAACCACAAAGAAAGACAGAGAGAGGGATTAAGATGCAGAGGGAAAAAGGGAGTGTCAGAATATTTAAGCAGGTTAATAAGACTGTGTTGTCGCTGGACTACAGGCAGGCCTTTGTTATAGTGTGAGCTCATCATCCATGTCACTCATTGTTCGGCCGAAAACAAACAAACCCAGACGCCGGGCTCCTTCTGGGAGCAGAGCCTGGAGCCTGAGGTAAGGCTGGCTCTGTCTGAGGACCCAGACGCATCACACAGTACATAACAGTGACTTAATGTGTTTATATGTATATACATTTAACAGTGCATCACTTTTCTATCATACAGTAGATATCATACCTTGCACTCACTGAGAATGCTCCCCAGTGCTGCTTAGAGATTGTCTTGTAATAGTGATTTTATGTTGTTTACATTATATATTTTCCGTCCACAACTTTATGTAGGTGAAAATGTTTATTGAAAATGTCATAAGCAGGTTATTTGAAATGCCTATAACCTAGACCCATTATGGTTATGGATGTTTTGACAAGCAAACTAGACATAACTTGCCGATGTTCTGCTGAAATTTGCTGCACTGATTTCTAGCATCTTGAGCCACACGCTTGGTATGATCTTAGAGAGCTAATAAATAGATGATCTGCCTCGCTGTGCAGTTAGATCGAAGAAGAAGCAATTTGTTTAGTACTTGCATTTCAAGCAAGCCCTCCAGCTACTGTTATTATGCTTGTTCTAGATGGTAAAACATACTCTGTTCCATAAGATTAATTGTCTTTTTTATAGGCTAAAATAGGTTAAGTGTTTGCAACAGTACACACACACACACTGTACTGATAGGTGATTTGAAACAACTATTTTCTCATAGATTTAATGCATGATATAATCAGTAATATAACTCAAATGTAATCTGTGTACCCACACTTGAATAGGTGCTGTGTGGTGGTGGATGATTTGAGTGATTTTCCTTTTGTTTCTCATAGATACAAACTTACATAACAACTAAATGAAAATGTAACTTTAGAATATAATGCAATCTTTAAGCAATTATACTAACATGAGACTGTATTACATCCGTGTGAGTTTGTACAAATAAGTTAGCCAACTCGCGAACCGTATAGACCAGTCACTGATTCATATGTTGACAGTTTAAAGCACAAGTTGAATTGAAATACTATCACTGCCATAAGACCGACTGACTAACAGTTTTACCTGAGCCAGATCTCTGAAAAACAACAGCTGCTACCGTGACAACAATATCAAACACTTGACAGCCATCGTGAAGGTTCCCTGTTTAATTACTATGGTGCTGTTTTTTCATCATGCATACATGGAGGAGGCAACGAACAGTCCTACCAATGATGATCCACTGATCTACTGGTGGCCCTAACATGGCAAAATATGTTACAATGTGCCAGTAAATGCAATGCCTTGTTTACATGCTGCTGTAACAAAAACATTTCCCAAATTGGGATCACTAAAGTATATCTTATCTATTCTTAAAGACAGGTAAGAAAAAAAACTAAATATTGGCTGTAAATATTTCACGAGGAAATAAACACATTTAATATGTTTGGTATGCCTTAAAGAAGCACACAATGCACTCAGGTGTAACTTGAAAAAAGGCTTTAAATGTCAGTGCTATTTTCGGTCTGGTTATTTTACATGCCAAGTCCATCTAAGACAGGTAGCATAAAAAAACCTGCAATGCTAGACAGCTGTGTATAGATATCTAGCCAGTAAAACCAACAGATAGATAAGCAGGCTGACTATGTTATCTTAACTCATTTGTCTACAGCTCACCAGAACGTTCCAGTCTGTGATGATGCGGTCAGCCAGGCCAGTGACGAGGAAGATGAGGTAGGTGGAGGACAGGATGAAGGAGGTGATGGAGACAAACATCACCCAGCCCTGCAGCAGAGGCACGGGCACATTGGAGGAAGCCACCAGGATCCATACAAGACCGCCAAATAACTGGGGGTAGAAATAAACACTCCTATTGGTCATTTTGTTTCATGGACACATTTGCACAGATACAGGCTTAAAGTAAACGACTTATGATGCATTACAAAGGCATGAGGTAGGTGTTTTTTTCTTGCGGATGCCTATATCCAATTTTTTCCAATACCATAACCCAGATAACAGAATACTGATCCTATACCTCTTTGTTTTCCAAATTGCATGTTAGTACTACCTGTGATGAAAGTCAACCAAGTACTGTACATTAACTGAAGAACAGCACAGTACTTGAGAACATATGTAAGGTACTTTAAATGTCTTTAGTTGACTTTAATGCAACTTATACTACTGCTCCGCTACATCCCAGAGGAAGATATTGTATTTTTACTCAGCTGCCATTGTAGTTGTTTTTCATTTAAAATACAAAAAAAAAATAGGTTTTGCATCATCTTGAACATTGCTTTTAATACACTGCTGTACACATATCTTCTCAACCATTACTATGTGTGGTGACAGAGTGGAAAGGGAATGTAGCAAATGTAATATTTCACATCGTTTGTTTCAAACACAACACAGTTGATTAAAAACACATAACAATATGGTGTTTTGAAAATTCACAAGTATTTAAAGCTTACTTTGGTAATGATAAGATGTTGGAACTCGACATTTGAATAACTGTTTCCACCTAAAGGCCTATCTACATGCTTTCAACTGGAAAGAGATAAGTAGACAAATTATTATAAGGGTGTAGCATGTACAGACACCGTGTCTATACATGCTACACCCTTATTGTAATGGCAATTTCCTACACTTACAATTTGGTGTTGTACAGGCCTTACACTGGTCTAAGGCAGGTGTTTTGAACCTCACGACATCGCTCGAGGCGACATTGCCCTTGCTTTGGTTGTCAAGCGTAAGCAAACACAACTCAGCCTCGAGCAATCTCAGCGAACATCAGTGCGTTTGTTTAAACATACACTCTATGGTGTGTAAACCCTAAGCAGTGCGCATATTAAAGAGGAAAGACTATAAAATCTAACTGGACTTCAACAACACAAGGTTATCAATTATTCATAAAGAATAGTGGCTATGTTCTGCAGTATTCACTCTACAACTCCACTGATATAAGAATATCATACAGAAGGAATACGGTGTCTATAAAATACGCACTTACTATTTCTAAACAGACAAGGGCTCCAGAGTAGGTTCTCAATACGTCCAGTCCCAAAGGTAGAGAAAGAGTTGGCGCTGGGAACGAGGTGGCAGCGGGATTAGTGGCTGGTTCCGACATCTCTAAATCTCCCACTCTCTTCTCTCTATCTCCCCCTCTCCTCTGGCTATCACCCTCTGTCTCCCTCTGAAAAGACTCCGTTGAATAAAGGACGGGAGCAACGGAGGAAATTCCTGTGGAGTCATGTGTCCCCCAAACAGGTCGGACAGGTGCAGGTGCCACTCCCAGGAACCACTGCTGCGTTCAAGGACCTTACGGAAGCTCCGAAATATTACTTTTATTTTATTTTTAAAAAATGGGTTAGGGTGAGATTAAATGAAAACGTCTCCATTTAAGTGGTATTGATTGACTGTGCTGATAACTTTTGTAGTTTATTAAAATAAACCCACACATTTATATTACGTAGATTTTCGGGGCCACAACATAGGCTATTTAGTCCTTTAACAATTGTAAATATCAGCTTTGATGCAGCAGTGGGATGTAGCCTACTCTTTTAATTTAAGTTCATTAAAGTTAGAAAGGATTGTGATCAACTTGACGTGTCAATATCTCTAAAAACAAACGTTCTTAACACAAATCACCTCTCTGTAGTAGGCTATAGGCCTACAGTAGTTAACAGTAGCACAATATCCACAGATACACATTATTGCAGCATTAAACATATTTCGAAGACATCATTATACATAAGAGTCAGGGGTTAGGGACCCCTAATGTCATTTTTTGATGACTGATTATAAAGGTACAGTATGTGCTGTTGTCTACTTCTGTTAACTCCAACACCCACTTTGTCAGTCTGTGTGAGCATCCTGAATCCGCTGACAGCTTGGAAAGTGAGAGGGACAATCAAATAGTTGGAGCCATGACTGCTGATGGCATTGATAAGTAACACTGTTAGAAAGGAAATGAGGGCCAAGAAACAATGGAGTGTGTACTGCCTGGTTAACCTTCCCGGTGCAAGCAGTTTGAAAAGTAAATATCAATGTCAGTTTCTTATAGTAGGCCTCGGTTAATGTTTAGCCAGGATTTGGGTTGTATGAACCAATGTTTATATAACCTCTTATAGGGCACTAGGCTAAGTTTGCTTTTGTGTGGCTAGAATCAATCAGTATACGAACTCTAGGTCCTATCATATAATAAAATACTTTTGCTTATAAGACAAGCACTGCTAGATCGGAAATCTTTTTCAGGCCTGATTTGGTTTCAAGCTTCAGTGAAATAATGTATAAAAACATTTGACCCCGGTTCTCGGTACATGGAAATACATTTTAGTGGATCCTTATCATCTATGGAACAACAGGAAGACAGGGCTAAATCTTTTCTCAGACTAAACTGCTGATTCTTAGGTTTTATTAAATGCAGCTAACTTTACACTCACACAGATTTAAAAAAGGAATTTGCAGAATATAAAAAACAGGTCTTCATTCTGTTGTCCATGTTTTTATTTTAGGAGTAGAAGAAAACATTCAAAAGATACAAGATTGTGCATTGTACTTTTCGCTTAAATGGCTAAAGATTGAAAAAGAAAGAACAAGATTACCAAGCAATATTGTGAAGATTAAGGGAACTTCTTTTAGTGCCATTTGTTTCATAGATGTAATTTAGAAAAAACATGACATTTGAAGGGCTTTTTGACAAACAAAGGTTACAAAAAAACTGAATATCTCTCTTTCAAGGCGTTGTAATCATAGCTGAATCAAAAAACATGTATGTGGAGAGGAGAGAAGAGAATGGGTGACTAACGCTCACAAACCCATGCAAATTCTGTATTACAAGGGGCGTCATTAAATTTCTTTTCTGATTGCTCAACACAATCCTCATTTCCTCTATAATTATTGGGCTCCCCCTTTTTCCAGAATCCGACACCTACCAGATCAGTCCCATCCACCCACTTCCACTTGCCCTCTTGCGCGATGTCAGACAGACCGATCCAGGATACGGCTCTAGTTCTGCTGAGAAAATCCAGCTCTTCTTGGGTGGTTATGATAGCCAGGTCGGCTCCTCTCGTTTGACAGTCTTGTCTGCTGCCTTGCCAGGTTTTAGACACGCTACCAGCAGAGAAAAAGTAGCACTTGTCTTGGAATGTTATCCATCCTTGGAGGCAAGGGACACCTATTTGACAAGTATATGTTGGTTATTGTGATCTTGAAACCCTTAAGTTTTAAGAAAATGTTTGGAGACCAGCAGGAAACTGAAGATAGTTAAGATGTCTAGTTTTATTATTCTGGCTTTGAGTATACTAGCATGCATTTTATTATCCACCCACTTCTCTTGGTGTTTGTTAATGTTATTTTCTGCATATGCTCATATTTCCTTTCTACAGCAGTGCATCCAAATAAAAGAAGATCCCATTCAAGTCTACATGTGTTGCTTTAGTCGTTACTTACGTTTCCTTAGCCCTATTAACTCCTCTTGTAGTTTATCTTGACTTGCAGCCATAGCGTTGTATTTACTCTGCAGAACCTCCAGCTCTTCTGTCAGGTTGCTGGAATTCATCTTCATTTGTTCTAGCTCCTCCCTCATGTTTCTGTCCATAGTCAGGTTAGAGATCAGCTGTTCAAACTTCGAGTCCATGTGATTGAGAACGATGGAATCTACAAAAATATCATTTACAATCAACGAATAACCATTACAATTATCAAGTGACCACTGTTAAAGCAACAAATACTAATACATTTTTAGGTGTTTTGTGGTGTGTACTCAAGCTCATTGTTGAGTCAGTACTTACTGTGAACCTCCATCTCTTTTGTCTGGTTGCCAGAATTAATCTTTCTTTGTTCTAGCTCATCCCTCTGAGTGTTTCTGTCCATAGTCAGGCTAGAGATCAGCTGTTCCCACTTCGAGTCATTGTGATTGAGAACACTGGAATCTACAAAAATATCATTTACAATCAACGAACAACCTTTCAAATGATCAAGTGACCACTGTTAAAGCAAAAAATACTGATACATTTTGAGGTTTCTTTTGGTGTGTGTACTCAAGCTCATTGCTGAGTCAGTACTTACTGTGGGCCACTATGCATAGGATTATAATCAGCGTCCCCAGACACACTGCAGCAGCTCCAATCCACCGCACTGAAACACAAATCACCACAACAAAAACACAATGAATATCCACAAAACAATCAAAGCAAATGTGTAATTTAACTAAATGTTTAAAGCTTTGTCCCTGTTTCCTCAAGCACATCTTAGGTTTTTTGTATAAATACTACAGCTACAATTCATATTATAAATGTTGTACTGTATATGGGCAACGTGGTCGAATGTGTGTTCTTACCGGATGTTTGAGTTCTAAATCCATAATTTGACATGTTGTCAGGAGCCATCAAATCACACTATCGTCCTGAATCGTATTGTCCCTTGATGTGATGTTCAGTGCTTCTGTAAAATGTGTGCTCAGTGTCCGTGTTCTTATTAAGGTCCAATAATTTGCTGATACTGCAAATAAACGCATGGGAGTAGGACATGTTCGGTTTAAGAAAGACAACCCATGGGCGGGAGTCTTTTCCAAAAGCAGAACTCTCAGATACGTTTTTTACATTGTGGTGAGTTGTTGTGGAGTATGGTATTATAATCTGTGATTTCCTATCTTTCATTTGCATCAGGATTGTGGACTCAGCACACTTAAAGGACAGTCAGCAAAACCCTTCTGTTAATTTCCTGTTTAAAATAACAGGATGTAAGCCTGTGTTTGTGTGCTTGTGTTGGATAGTGCTGCTGTAAGAAATTGATGTTTTGTTTAACAAGAATTGAAACCAATCTGTTCATGCCTAACCATGTAACCATGCAGGTTATAATGGGCCACAAAGAAGGCAAAAGCCACTTGAAATGTGTGCACTGCTTATATGGAAAGTCACTAGGACAGCACAGGTGTTATTCACACAAAGCCACCTATTTATGTTCAACGGCATTACAAAAATAGTTTGATCACACAAAGTGAAAATATAGACATGAGTGTTTTCACCAAATAAAAAACAGGAAGCAGCAAAAAACATAAACCAAGATCTTGACTGTATTAAATAATGTAACAACCAAGTGCAGCACCTACAATGACAATTCGTAGATTTGTTAGTAAAGTATGAACATGACACTACTTTATTGTTCAGTCAACTGAGGTTTTATTCCAAAAAAAAGGGAGACAGAAAAATCATACTTATAACGTAAGGCCCACTGCAACTTTATTGCCATGTGTTTTAGCATGTTATGATAATGCAGGTTATTTAAGGTCAAAATCGTTAAATGTTTATTTAAGAGGCAAACTATAATACATATTTACTCTGAAAGCCATCAGAGTGTCCCCCTCTTATGGCCTAAGGGTGTACAATTCCAAGAAACCTGATAAATAATAATAAAAAATTCCTCAAATTACTTTTTAGCAGTCAAAAACTCATTCCATCCCCTTTACTACAGAAATTAGAGGAAACATCTGCAGAAAGAGAAGTGGAAGAATTTAAGGAGAATAGAGGAACATAACAAAATGTGGCAAGTCACTTCCCCTGACAACTCGAGAAAAATCATTAAAAACGATATATGTGAGAAATGACTATTACTTTGCTTTATGGCATGGAAGGAAATGGAGGATTAACAAATTGATAATAGTTCATCCTGAGGAGAATATGAATCTCTCAACAACCCTTAAAACGACACATTTGAAAACGCAATGGATCCAAGTAATTAATATTTTCTAAATCATTAATGTCTCTCGAAGTAAGTGCCATTTCATTTATGGTAAATTACATTATCTCAGAATTAATAAAAATCTGGCAGCATAGAGGAAAAGGGATCACCAAGGTAAATTGGACTGGTCCACAGGGGACAACATTTCTGTACAAACTTCAAAACAATCCATTGAGATAGATCCATAAGCCAATGGTGCTGTTTTGGCTCTATAGCCATGGTTTCAAACACAGACAGACATTTGTTCCATTGTTGTGCTTGAAATGTGATCTCCCGTTCATCCAGACAATCAAGCACTTAAATATAATTGTCCTGAAGTTTCCAAAACCTTACCCAGATCCCTGCAGACTTCCCTAAACCTCGGCCTATGTTTTTTAAGTGGAGCTTCACCTCAGGCCGAACCCGTGAAAGAATCAGCCAGACAGTAATGCAGCTTTCCCCCCAATGTTTATTGTCAGTATAGCGCCTCTTTACTGCTGGGCTTTGAATGAAAGCAAATGTTAAGTAATACAATTAAAAAACAAATTGAGATACTATGTGATTATTGCCAATTTAC